CGCGCCGCGATCACCATAATTGCGCCGCGATCAAAATCACCGCGTCGCGATCGCGATCACCGCGCCGCGATCGCGATCACCGCACCGCGATCGCTATAACCTCGCCGCGATCGCGATCACCGCGTCGCTATCGCGGGCGCGATTAATCTAAATCGCGCCGCGATATGCACAATCGCGCCGCGATCGCTGCCATCGCTCCGCGATCGCGGTCATCGCGGAGCGATCGCGGCGCGATCGCTGATAAATTTTTACAAGGGAATAAGTATATAATCTATGGCTTGAAAAAAAAAACAAACAAACAAACAAACACTAGCTGGAAAAGCACTAAAACCAAGAATATTTTTCTTTTTAATCAAAGACAAAATATCAAAGTAAAAGAAAACAAGACGAATCAAACTAAGTGAATTTTATAAGTGATACTCCTCGAATACGGTAGACCTCAAATCGGCAAGATATTTAGGAGGGGTGCTGACCCGTCAGGGGGCTGTTCCAGGGTATTCCAAGCTGTCCTGAGGGTGTTCCGGGGTGTTCCGGGCCTGTTCCCAGTTTTACAGACACCCAAAAATTCGAGTTGCAAATTTTGACATGCAGACAGCTCGGATTTTTGCGGTAAAAATTCGAGTTGCAAATTTTGAAATGCTAACAACTCGAATTTTTGTCGTAAAAATTCGAGTTGCAAATTCTGAAATGCACACAACTAGGATTTTTGTCGTAAAAATTCGAGTTGCTAATTTTGAAATCGCACAACTAACTCGGATGAAAATCGGAGTTGCAAATGTAAACTGTAAAAAAATATATATCAATGTCCTATATGAGATGCCTGTGATACTTTGTGATGCCTTGTGATGCTTTGTGATACCTTGTGATACTTTGTGATACTTTGTGATACCTTGTGATACTTTGTGATACTTTGTGATACTTTGTGATACTTTGTGATACCTTGTGATACTTTATGACACCATGTGACACTGCGTGTTTTAAAGCCTTGTACTGATACTAGAATTCGTGAACCAAATTTGTGTCACCTCACATGATTAGTGAATTGTAGAACAGACTGGCATGATACTGAGGTTACGTTACTAAAAACTCAAGTTAATAAGGTATACTGTGATTGTGTGAGCATGTGATGCGATCACAAACTTTGTGTCCTTAATAAGTTGTCCCCAAATCGTGCACTGTATAAAAAAAACTATTTGCAAAAATATGCTGGTTACAAGTGGACCAAGGACCCTACTGTACTAATATATTAAGATTGGGTTTCACAACATCTTTGTTTACAAAAACCATGCTGGAAATCTGTAAGTATTCTGGTTCTCTAGGCCAGGTGTTCCAAGATATCATGGCAAATAACATGCTCTAAGGGGCTGACCATTTAACTTTTGAGGGGGGAGGGGCGCGATTTCTGGTCAGCAATAATTTTTTCCAGAAACCTCCAGGGCATGATATTTTTTCCCCCTTCTCATTGCCGGCAAGTTACACTCGTGTCATAAGGAAGTCATGATTATAATGTCATAATATTAAGTGATGCAAATCCATGATCAAATGAATGTGAAAATGTTTAATAGATAATTTATTAATTCTTAATTAATAAGAAATAGCCCCAAGTAGCAAAAAGCAGTTCAGAAATGTTTATGTAAGATAGTATCACTCAGGTTATGCTGCAGAATCATCACTTACAATTTATAACTTTGTCTGGATAAAAAGTTTATTTTTCAAACAGAAGGCAATATGTTGAATATTTTATGGCCACCATTTGCTGAGTAATGAAATACCTCTTGAAGGATTCCTCATGGGTTCTATCCCTGTACCTCTCTCTTCCTTACTTTACATAAATAATGACATCAACAATACTATCTTCTCTATTAAAGCTCATATTGTTTGCCGACAATACCAATGTATTCATGTTACATAAAGATCTGAACTATCTTCAGTTTCAGATATGTTAAACTTGGAGATGGACAAACTGTCAATCTGGTTTAAAGTAAACAAGAATGTGCTTACAGCAGCATAATCAGTCTCGCTTGCTTATATATATATCATCTTTATTTACTTTTATCATTATTTTTTTTAACGTTAAATTTTTCTCTCTTGGCATTAAATAGAGTCTTTTTACTTCTCAGCTGGTTTCCCGCGATTTTTCCCGTTACACCATTGTTAAAAATTTATCTGGGGCTCATATTGTTAACTGGCACATGGAAGAGCAGTTTCGGCGCCTAGTTGCAACATTTTAAGCATGGCTCATCATGCAGAGATCAGTAGTGATGGTAAGATTTTTATCAAAAATATTTCAAAGAATTTCCGATGATTTTAATTTCCTCTGTGGCCCATCGTTTTGTATAAACTCTAAAAATTGTCGAATTTTAGAAAGCGAAGATATTGTAGTTTTGGATGATGATCAGAAATGATATAGTATGCTTGGAGACCTTAGGCTGTTTAGGAATGGATGAAGGTTTGGATAAACATAAGCTTAAGTCTTTTATATAATATATGTTTATTATAAATTTTCTCTTGTCCTGAGAGTTAAAAAAACAATAAAATAATCTTTTATCGCATACAGTGGAACCCCATTAATATGGACACTAATTAATAGGGGCCAAAAAAATTGGCTGTATATATTACTGGGGCATGGCTCAAAATTCATGACTTGAGGGCCCTAATGACAAAATTTAAATACACCATACATTGCATTCACCGTACTGTTCTCATTAATAAACATGCAACTGGAATGTAAATATCGCATACATGCAATTGAAAAAACAACTTGAGATTTTTCTTCACTAAATGACACTCTTTTAAAATTCAGTTACAAATTGCCACAAGTGCATTTTAAGTGTACTGTAGTATAAAAACAGTACAAGAATAAGCTCTGATTACTAGGTCACTGAAATTGACATGTCACAGGCATTTTAATTTTTTGAATTTCGAACGAGTGGCCTTATTAACAGGGTAAAATTATAAGAGATTCTACTGTTTGGGATTTTAAAATGTGGCCGTTGGCTGTATTAATTAATGGGTGACCGCATTGCAGATGTTATTTGTTAATGGATGATTTTGACGATAGCAGCCGTAACAGTGATTTTGGGGTAAGCAATGCTGGGTTAGCATTGATTATGTTTTTAAGTTAATGAAACTAAACGTAAACATATGCCCCCAGGAAAATAGAATGTACAAAGAACTTTGCTGAACTGAAGGTTGAAATGTAATTGGGATCAGAGGCAGTACACGCTTTCGCTTTCTTTCAAGAATTCAAGTGAAAAATGTAACAACTAAATTATTGACCAAAATGGTCCATTTTCCCTTCAACCTGATTGGCGATCACGACAAACAAAACAAAGGCCTTTTTTAACTGGCCAATCGTGGCGCGTACTCAAATCTGGGTACACAGCTGGAAGTCCAGAACAAGGATTTCGGCGCTGTTTCGCAGATGGAGTTAACCAGAGTTTAATTTCATCTGCGCGCAGGCTATGATCCCATCGCAGTCTCTTAAATACTTTTTCTTCACTGGGGCTCCACAATCGTTTCGCAATTCTCGTCCTCACATTCCAACGTGTCTCAATGAAAAATAAGAGCCTTTTTGCGTATTCTTGCATGCATTCCTTTTATCTGAGGGACAGGGAAATGTCCGTTCATATTCTAAAACTATTCCGAGAAACAGGGAAATGTCTTGAAGAAAGTCTACTAGGAGTAACGGATATAAAGAACATAGAAAAATTTCAAATGAATCATTAAACAGTTTAGTTATTGAATTCGGCTTTTTTCCGTCCCGTTTTTCGTATGATATGACGAATTATTTGCGAATTATGCAGATCTCGGATGCTGCAATTATTTACCTCGGCCGATAACACCCTCCTCCTCGATTCGCACATAAATTCTTCATATCATGGGATAGCTTTAATAATTGCTGATATTAGACCCATATTTAATGGAGACTACAAAAGCTTCGTAGAGTTTCCTTACCTTCACTTAGATCATGTAGATGGCTCCAACCCTGATCGCTCAATTGATCGCTGATTATGGGTTACTTCCGGGATTGGATTTATGTCCTACAGAGTCTGGAACTAGTTAATATTTTTTTACAATGCATGATGGGAAGAGGAAGGGAGTGAAAAATATTCCGAACGGAGACCAGATTTTTGCGTTAAAAAGTCTACTTCGATATGTCAAAATCCAGCCAGTCAACGAAGTTTAGAGGGGTGGATGTTGATGAGCTAGATGAGAACAAGTTTCAGGATGAAGGCGACGAAGATTCAGGACAAAGCGGCCCTGACGAAGGAGAAGTGAACAATTTACTAATGCAGTATCCTTGTCTGTAGCACCGCCAATTCATTGAAGCTGACGCTTGATAATTAGAAAATTGAGTCCTAATAATCGTAAAATTTAGTCCAGCTTCTAGCGATACTTAATCTCAAAACTCTTGGCAAGGATAATTCTTTTGAAGATCTCCTATTTAGGGTGACCTTTATGTAGTTAGTATTAAACGCCTACTTTAAGTTACGTTACATGCATACCATAATCTTGCAAACTTTGCAATACCCTATGCTGTGTTAGAAAGTAGGTTCATTAAGTAGGATAATGTGCTTTATATCGGAGTCCTTTCCAACCAAATCAAAAGAATTCTCTATGATGTATGGCTCAGACACCAACAGACTTACCACCAACTGTGTGGTGAGCTGTCAGTTATGGAGAGACACAGTACACCCATGTCAAATGCACAGTAAACCAGACAAAAAGTAGCCTGAGAAAACAGACATCATTTCACGATGCCAGCACTGGATTCCCTGCAAAATCACATCTGAGGAATGGCTAAAGAAATTCCATACTGTTGACATGTTACTCCCCAGATCTGGGTAGTACTTCTGATTGGTTGTGCCTTGAGATTTGTCTCTAACAAATCAGAAGCACTACCCAGATCTGCAGTCATTCCTCAGACGTCATTTCATGGGGAAACCAATGGTGGGGCAAAAAATGGCTGCTGTTTTCTCAGGCTAGAAAAAGCAGAGAAGATGACCTACAATGCAGGTCAGATGATTTGGGATTGCTTAACACGTGGTATTAGTCAAGATGTCTACTTCCAAACCTTCTCCAAAAAACACTGAATTTTGAGCATGATGGGTGCTCTCTTTCTAGAACATAACTGGGGAAGGTGGGGGCACTAACATCATTATGAACCCAAAGCCAGCAAAAACTCTTTCATAAGGAGGAAAGTTGTATGTAATGATCACTTTTTTGTCTCCATTGTAGCAGTTTAACCTATTTATTTCATCGTAGCCTAACTATTGAGAGCAAGGCCAGTTTGTGATGAACTGCAAATCAGAGAAACAATATTTGAATTGATGCTCAGACCCCAGTACAACAACAACAGTGACCAAAGGTGGATTGAAATGTCATGATGTAAATAACTGGACCTAGACCTTCTATAGTCCTTTGAAATACATCAGTCACATAGAGTCTTCATCACTCCAAACACTAAGGCTTAATAACCAACCATGTCAACTACGGTACAATGAGAGTATTGTACCATCAACAACCCTGTAAATATCATCGTATATATTTTCCTTAACATTAGTCTAGAAAGAAAAATGCAGAGGCATTGAAAGCAGCATTAACAAATGCACCTATCATGTCCAAGAGTCAAGCTGTCAAGGTAAGGTATAAAATGTATTTTAAACTAAGTGTTACTATTAAGGTCACATAGTTCAAGATAGAGATGCACATCACAGTCTTATCTCTCTAACCAAATGAGAGATGCCTCGCAATTAAGGACAGTCACTATTCCATAACACTGAGTAATGAGACTCGCATGTTTATCCGTAGGCTGAGAGAAAATGAAATAATTATTATTAATGCAATGGTGGTTTTATGCCTGACTCTGCATTTTATTTCTTTGCGTTTCTCAAGAATAGATAGGTATATTAGAAAGAGAGTGTGAGTAGTGATTTGTTTAATGAAACAGTAAGGTTGTTGTTGTTCTTAAAACCAGCAGCCATTTTTCAAGTTTAATCCTCTATGAGCGACCACCCTATTATAGACACGAACCATTTTTATTGAAGTTGTGTGGCTTCTATTTTATAGGACAAGGCTTTTGGACTTGTCATGCGTGTTTTAACAGCCGTGAAATCTGCTGAAGTAGAGAAAGCTGTCAAAAACCTTGACAAAAATGAGCAGGATGTTTTGATGAAATACATTTATAGAGGGTTTGCTGAGCCTACTGAAGGCTCAAGTGCTGTACTACTCACATGGCATGAAAAAGTAAGCAAACTCTTATTCTTTGTTAAGACTAAGAAATAAAAAGCAAGCATCCTTGTCTTTTAGCTTGCAAAAACAGTGTGCTCTTCTCACTCCTCACTGCTAGGGATTTTTCTCCAGGAGGGACATCTGCACCTCAATGACAGACATTCCATACCAATAACGTTAGTCACAGGGTTCCAAATCGGTTTTATATTGACTGTTTTGTTATAGAATCATCATGTTTATTACATGTTTGACCTTTGTGGCCTGTTGTCTCTTGTCTGTCATTTGTAAACAGTTGCAACAAGAATATAACTACTATGTTGACCAATCAGAGCTCCTGACCAGATTTAGGACAGATTTCACATGATCAGTGTTGAATTTCTTTCTCTGAGGCGCAGGCGTCTTTCCTGGTGAAAAGTCCCTAGCAGCGAGGAGCAAGGAGAGATGGCTGTTTTTGTAGGCTATCTTGTCTTTTGATATTCTTGTAGCGCTGAGGCTACATGAACATCTGGAACCCCATGACTATCAGATAACTTATATAAACACTGATTTTCATCGTCAGTATGGTATATTTTAGAAGATAATGCAGATGCATGCCTCTCTCACAAACATCCTAGGTGTAAATGTTTCTTAATTCTTATAACATAACCTGTAGTGTTAACAACATGCAACCCTAAACCCTCAATTTAAGAATAGTAACAGGGACAGGAGGATTTACAGTCGCTTGGTTCATCGCCATGTTTGAGAACCTGACAAAGAGCGTGTCCCACATGGTTTGCCTTATTTGGAAATTCACAAGGGGTGGTTGAAGGACAGCATTTTTACCAGGCAACACAAAATGGCGTATGAACTGCTATCGTCTTTGCTCGTCAATCAAAAAGACACAGTCTAAAGAGTTCTGGATTCCGATTTTACTGAACAATATAATAACTCACTCAGCTAGCGCACCCTGTAAAAGGTGTGTAAAAATTGAACCAAAATCGAAACGTGGAAGCAAAGAATCGTGAATTGAACCAAACGGTCATAATCGCAATTAATTGTTAAACCACTAAGGGATGACATGTCATGTTTGAATTTACAGTAAAATAGTTTGTTTCAGCCACGACAAACTGTCCTTGTTTTTTTTTTTTATGAGAAGTTTGCCCAGAGTCTGTGAATTGCAGTTCTGAGTTTCATTTATTGTGCCCGACAATATTGTGGGTTTAAAGTAATTTAATATCATCAAATATTCTCAGAAGTGGCATCACAAATGTTATTGTTACTTTCCTTTTATTTCAGGTCCTGGCTTCTGCAGGCCTGGGTTCTATTGTCCGTGTTCTAACTGACAGAAAAACTGTTTAGATGAGAAAGTGGATTTTATTAAACAAACAACTATTGCCTTAAAATAATGTTTGAATATTTTTCAATTCAAGTTCATGAACTATGATGTATTTCTCAGTTGATAGTATTCGTTAATAAATTTTCAAAGTTCATTTGTAACTATTTTGTAGCCTTTTCATAGAAGTTACAGTCAAAATACTTAAACACATTTCACTTTTTATATTAGTTTAGAATGACTTTAATCAAGGGGTGATTGCATTTTATATTGTACTGCATTATTATTTGATAAAGTGTTCAACCTCAAATAAGTGCCTTCCCTGGAATGAATGCCCAATCTGTAGGTAGGAAAATAATTAAGGGCCCAGCCTTGAAAAAGTGCCCACTACACTGTTCTGCCTGACATAGAAAACTCTAGGTTCTTATACATGTATGTCGGTTTTTACTGTACACCAAGTATTTTGACTTTAATTCCTATCAAGTTCTCATTTGCAAAATTTATACTACATGAGAAATTCCTGCAATTTGATTGGCTTAGAGCAGTGGTATTTCAGCTTAATTTGAAATACCTACATGTAAAAATTACAACCTTTTGCGGTAGTAGTATAAACAAATAATGGCATGATTTGTACGTGATATTTAGCATAAATACCACTCGTGACATTTCAAAATTGTCTCAAATTTCCTTCGTCTAACGGCTTGTGAAATTACCTATAAAAATTTTGAAATATCACTTGTGGTATTTATGCCGAATATCACTACTAATCATGCTATTACCTATACTAACTTGTTAGGTGAAAAAGAACCACAAGAGTGTACTTCAGTAGTTTTCGTCTTTGATTATTAATAATAATATTAAAGTACAATAGAGGATATTTCACAAAATTAACTGGTTTGATTGTTATACTACTGTTTGCAAAAAATTGATAACTAGTGACAAAGCTACATAGAAGTTCTTGGGAGTACAAAAGATGAAATTACATGTAAACTAACAAAGCAAACTTGTGAGTTAAAGATGCAATTGTCCTGCCCATTTACTTATAAAATGAGGTAAAGGAAAGAAATGATTGCCTTTCTTCGCTGTTGTATTTTTGTAATGTTTTTTTTTTCAATGTAGGAACATCAGATTTGAAAATAAAAGAACACTCACCTTCATCTTGAAAGATATGCTTTTATGATTTCAGCTGAATCAAAACTGTGCTTATAGGTAATGTTAGGTCCCTTCTTGACTGTTC